TATTTATAGATTGTAGCGTCGTAATACAGTTCTATAGCTTTCCTCTTTATTTTAGATCTAACGTTCTATCCAACAGGAGGCGGTAAGTTCTCATGCAAATATAATGTTAATGATTTAAAAATATTTTGTTTACTGTTTAGATCAACAACATTATTTTTCAAGATGAATTTACAAACTCCATCAATTCAAAATTTTTTAATGAAACTTTCATCTCAAGCAGCGGAATTCTTTGTTGGTGTGCTCAAAGCATTAAATGAAGCAGCTTTGCCTGCAATTAGTGCACTCTTTGGGGGATTACTTGGTGGACCAATATGTTTAGCAATAGGTAATTAATCATTTTATTATCTTAATTATTTTTATTAAAAATTTATTTCCTAACTTCCCATTTCCTATTTTTTAGGTGGTATTGTTGGATCTTGTGCAGCAGCTGCTATAGGACTGGGATATTGTAAAGTTTTAGCTGACATTATTGAAAATTTAGCTTCAGCTGCAAAACATCTTGTTAAAAACATACGTATAGAAGATCTAAGGCCATTGCTAATTTTGTTATTAAATTTTCGTTCAATAACATATTAATGTAAACGCCTGACAATTATGTTTACTTATTTTCACATAAAATGTGTGAGTAATTATGAAAGTCTTTTTATTAAATATGTGTATATATCTGTACCTTAAAGGTAAAGGATTGTATCTCCATTAGTTTAGGTTTTATAGGTATATATTTTATGTGGTAAAAATGATATAAAAATGCATAGTTACGTTGTTAATTAATTATGGATTTTTTTTTCAATTTTTAAGATGAATAAATCACAAACATGTGGAAAGGCAAAAAATAAAACCACTTATAACTAAATATTAAAAGATTCATTAAACATAGATAATTATTATTATCATTAATGACTATAAATCTCGAATGCGGGAAGTTAGCCCCCCATTTTTTGATTTTTAAATTTTTTATTGTTCTAGATTGTTCTAGAGTTGTTCTACATTGTTCCAAAGCGGCAAATCGAAAAAATAAAAACTCCGCGAGAAAACCGAAAAAACAGGTTTTTTTACTAGCCCCCCATTTTTGGAAAAATCTAATTTTCTTTGTTGTTCTGGGTTGTTCTAGTTATTGTTCTAGAAAATCAAAATTATGGGATACAGCATTACGAAGTTATAACTAACAATAGGTTTGGCCGCCGAAATGTCTAGTTGATTGCTGTGACCGTAGTTTTTCTATTATCAATTCCATATTACAAATATATACTTATTATAGCTAACGCAATCTGGAACAGCTATTATTTTCACTTGAATAACTCTTTAAAGGGCACTTTACTCTTTGAAAATTAAAGTTTTTGGAAGTTTCAGTCAGTAATTCTTGTGTCAGCGGTTTTATATTACGCAATAAGAATTAAAAAACATAGAACAATCTAAAATAACTCAAACTTTGCGGATTCCAATTGCTCCAGATGTGTTTTACGTTTAACACGGACATTAATTTTGCAAAATCACATATTTTTTGTTGCTCTAAATTGTTCTTGTTGTTCTAGGTGCTTTCATATTAAAAATTAGTACTTACAACAATTAAAACAATTCAGAACAGCTGTTATTTTCACTAGAAAAGCCTTAAATTTCAGTTGTTGTGATATCGGACAGGTTTTGTTGAATCAGTGAACCCAATCTTTAATATAATAATAGTTTTAAAAAACTAAAAAAATATGGAATTATTTGACCATCTTAATTTTCTAAAAATCACAAGTTTCACCTTTCTCTTTAAACTTATAATAGTAAAACATAAGATGCGATTTAAAGTGTATTTTATTTTGTATAAACTAAGTAATAAATTAATAAATAAACTAAACTAACAAATAAAACAATATCTATTCGATCAGTACAATAACTTATTCTAAGGTAAACTATAACTAAATAAACTAAATTATGTAAATAAACTAATATCATGGAATAACACGGTTACATACTTTGATCATTTATAAATATATATGCACATTTGTGCGTTTATTTAAGTAGCTTTTTCAACTTGTACGGATTTTTTTCGTAAGTCATTAAATAATATCCAATTGGCATTGTTGGGCACAAATGCCGGGTAGTGAGTGTCCTACCTCATTCAAACATTTCAAATTGACATGACAAAGACAAATTGCGTGCGTAATCACTCAATTTTGTTTTATTGTTCTCTCTATTCGTTGTTTCTATAAACAGACCACATTTTCTTGCAATTGTTGCTTAGAGTTTGCATGTAGTTTTCTATTACTTGCTTTAGCTGCGCATAGCCAAATATTGTTACGATGTCAATGTCGATTGATAAAATTATGTTTTTATGGAAAGTAACGTTTAAACAATTATTGGAGTTTTTAGTCCTACAATAACTAAATTCTTCTTTAAATAGTTGTGTGCAAAGAAACGCAATATTTGAAATAGCATTCACTATTATCACGCCAGCAATATTCTGGCTTCCAAAATAATTTATTCCTGTTAATAGTTCAGCTCTTTTTTTATATGTTACTTTACTAGAACCGGTTTTTAAAAATAATTTTAGGAAACAAAAGCAATCTGTGCAAATATTCTCAACATGATTTCTAAATGGTGTGTACGGGCAAATGCTATGAAAAATGCAATGCTAATGCTAACTATGAAATATACTATCGAATCCGCAATTTCATTTATTGAAATAGATTTTAATGAAACTTACTTATGAACTTATGAAAGAATTACTAACTGAAACTTCCAAAAATTTTAATTTTTAAAAAGTAAAGTGTTCTTTATAGAGTTGTTCTAGTGAAAATATTAGCAAAATACTACCAGATTGCTTAGGTATAATAAGTATATATATGTGATATGGAACTGAAAATAGAAAAACTATGGTCACAGCAATCAACTAGACATTTTGGCAGCCTAACCTACTTTTGTTAGTTTAGTTTATTTATTAATTTATTACTTTGTTTTACAAAATAAAATACACTTTAAATCGCAACTTATGTTTTATTATTATAAGTTTAAAGAGAAAGGTGATTTTTAGGAAATTAGATG